CAGCCACTTGGAATTGTGAGTCCAGTTAAACCTCTTTCCTTTGTAAATTGCCCAGTCTTTGGTATGTTTTTATCAGCAGCATGAAAACTGACTAATATAGTAAATAAAAAATAAAAAAAATTTTAAAAATACAAAGATTAGCCAGGTGTGGTGGCGGGTGACTGTAGTCCCAGGTGCTTGGGAGGCTGAGATGAGAGAATCACCTGATCCTGGAAGGTTGAGGCTGCAGTGAGCCCCTGTGATGGCACCACTGCACTCCAGCCTAGGTGACAGAATGAGATCTTGTCTCAAAAAAAAAAAGATAGACAATGCCAAGTAGTAACAAGGATGTGATAAACTGGAATCCTCATACATTACTGATAGGGTTGTAAATTGGTACAACACTTTGGTAAACAGTTTGTCAGATTCTAAAAAAGTTACATATATTTACCATATGTCCCAGCAATTCTACTTCTCTATATCTAACTAAGAGAAATGAACACATATGTCCACACAAAAATTTGTATATGAATTTTTATCACAGCATTTAATAATAGCACAAAACTGGGAACATTTTACATGTCCATCAGTGAATGGGTAAACAAAATGAGGAATATTTACACAATGGAGTACTACTCAGCAGTTAAAATGAAATTCTGATTCATGTAATAATATGGATAAACCTCAAAAATATTATGGTAAGTGAAAAAAGCAAGGCACAGAAGACTATATATTATTTGATTCTATTTACTTGAAATAAGGAAAATAGATCAATGGTTGCCTGGAGCCAAAGGTGAGGATGGAGAGTAAGTGCAAACAGGCATGAAAGAACTTTTTGGAGTAGTAGGAGTCTTCTAACACTGGATTGTGCTGATGCTTGCACAACATAACATTAAAATTAGTGAATTTTATGGCATGTAAGTTATGCCTTAATATAGCTATTTTTTATAAAGACACTATATAGCACCTGCAAAATGAGAAACAGATGGATTCTTCACTAAATGGTGATAGGACAACTGGCTACTATCCACATTAAAAAAAAAAATTAGTTCCTTACCTCACACACCACACACAATTCGAACTGGTTTAAAGACCTAAGTTTTTTTTCTTAAGAGATAGGGTCTTGCTCTGTTGCTGAGGCTGGAGTGCAGTGCAGTGGGATGATCCTGGGCTCAAGGGGTCCTCCTGCTTCAGCCTCCAGAGTAGCTGGGACTACAGGCATGCACCACCACTCCTGGATAATTTATTTTATTTTATTTTGTGTAGAGACAGAGTCTCACTATGTTGCCCAGGCTAGTCTTGAACTCCTGGCCTCAAGTAATCCTCATGCCTCAGCTTTCCAAAGAGCTGTGATTACAGGCATGAGCCTCTGTGCCCAACCCTAAAGATCTAAGATCTGAGTCCTTTTTTTTTTCTTTTTTCTTGAGACAGGCTCTTGCTCTGGTACCCAGGCTGGAGTGCAGTGGCAGGAACATAGCTCACTTGCTGCCTCGACCTACTGGGCTCAAGTGATCCTACTGCCTCAGCCCCCCAAGTAGCTGGGACAACAGATGTGTGCCACCACGCCTAATTTTTTCATTTTTTATAGAGACAGAGTCTCACCGTGTTGCCCAGGCTGGTCTTAAACACCTGGGCTCATGCAGTCTTTCCCCCTCAGCCTCTCAAAGTGCAGGGATTACAGGCATGAACCACTGCACCCAGCCCTGTGACCATTTTAAAATCAGATTGTAGAGATTTTCCTTATTGTAGCAGCTGTTTATATAACCTGGATGCTAATCCTCTGTTATAAATTCTGTAAATATTTATAATAAAGTCCTTAAACTTTATTTTAGTGTCATTTTTTATACCTGAGTTTCCAACTTTAAAACTGTGGGAAAATCACTTGAGCCTGGAAGGTTGAGGCTGCAGTGAGCTGTGATTGTGCCACTGCACTCCAGCCTAAATGACAGAGCCAGACCCTGTCTCAAAAAAGAAAAAAAAAAAGGAGGGGGAGGGGCATGGGGGACAACATAGGAATATGCAGTTTGCTAATGTGGAGATTGTAAAAGTTAATACATGTATGAGAAAAAGCTCTGTGTCACTAGTAAGCATAAGAATGCACCTTAGAATAATGATGTGGCAAAAATTCACAGCCATCAGATTGGCAAAAATTTAAGTATGGTATTAGCACCTATCGGGGGAACCAGCCCCCAGTATTTCAATGTAGGTTCTTTTCTATTTTCCCTAAGTGTCGGCCGGTCTGAGAAATAAAGGGAAAGAGTACAAAAGGAGAAATTTTAAAGCTGGGTGTTCGGGGGAGACCTCCCATGTCAGCAGGTTCCGTGATGCCCCCTGAGCTGCAAAACCAGCAAGTTTTTATTATGGATTTCAAAAGGGGAGGGGTGTACAAATAGGGTGTGGGTCACAGAAATCACATTCTTCAAGGGGAATAAAATATCACAAGGCAAATGGGGGTAGAGCGAGATCACAAGACCAGGGCGAAATTAGAATTGCTGATGAAATTTCATGTCCCACTGGGCACGCATTATCATTGATAACATCTTATCAGGAGACAGGGTTTGAGAGCAGACAACTGGTCTGACTAAAATTTACTAGGCAGGAATTTCCTAATCCTAATTAGCCTGGGGGCGCTACAGGAGACCGGGACTTATTTCATCCCTTTTCTGCAACCGTATAAGACAGACACTCCCAGAGCAGCCATTTTAGAGACATACCCCTGGGAATGCATTCTCTTTCTCAGGGCTGTTCCCTCCTGAGAAAAAGAATTTAGCGATATTTCTCCTATTCGCCTTTGTAAGAAGAGAAATATGACTGTGTTCTCTCTGGCCCCACAGGCAGTGAGGACCAATAGTTATCTCCCTTGTTCCCTGAAAATTGCAGCCATCCTATTCCTTTTGGATGCCCAGATTTCATATTGTTCAAACACACATGCTCTACAAACAATTTGTGAAGATAACGCAATCATCACAGGATCCTGAGGCGACATACATCCTCAGTTTATGAAGATGACGGGATTAAGAGATTAAAGTAAAGATAGGCATAGGAAATTATAAGAGTATTGATTGGGGAAGTGATATATGTCCATGAAATCTTCACAATTTATGTTCACAGACTGCACTAAAGACAGGTGTAAGAAATTATGAAAGTATTAATTTGGGGAACTAATAAATGTCCATGAAATCTTCACGATTTATGTTCTTCTGCCATGGCTCCAGCTGGTCCCTCCATTCAGGGTCCCTGACTTCCTGCAACAAGCACTGATGAAGATTCTCATAATTGCAATTGGATATAAATTGGCACAACCACTTTTAAGTACAATGTGGCATCATTTAGTTATATTAGTATCTACAATTTGGCAATGCAATAGCTAGATATAATCCTAAGAAAAATACAAGAAGATATGTATAACATCTGTAATCCCAGCTACTCAGGAGGCTGAGGCAGGAGAATCGCTTGAACCCAGGGGGCAGAGGTTGCAGTGTTGAGATCGCGAGAGTGCTGAGATCGTGCCATTGCACTCCAGCTTGGGTGACAGTGAGACTTTGTCTCAAAACAAAAAGAGGAAGGAGAAGAAGAAGAAGATAAGTACAAGTATGTTTAGTGCAGCAGTGTTCATGATAGCAGAAAAATTATTTTTCAAAATTGTTTTGGCTATTCTGGATCTTCACATCATTTGGGCCTCTGCCTCCTTGTGACAGGAGGGAAACAAAGTAATAGTGGTAGGAAGGGAAGGTGTGCTGGAAAATGCTGCTGGCAATTCAGTGAACTTCAGGTGAGAACATTTCAAAGTGTAGATTTGTAGGAAGTAAGGGTTCAGGGTGTGAAAGTTTTGTGAACTAGTAAAACTTTCATATGGACTAGCATTAGTCAGAAAATTGGACTAGATATTCCCCAGGTCCCCTTCAGACCTGAACATTCTGTGGTTCTTACATATTTAAGCTTTACTAAGTGACTTTGGATACTCTAAGTTAGTTACTATGTGACAAACTCAAGAAGTAGAATAGTGGATTCATATTATCTCATTTAACTTCTGGAGGAGTGCTTCATGCAAAGAATAATATCAACTGGGGGGAGTAGTGTTCTTATCTCATATCCAGATCTTCATAGAAGTAATTCTGATACCTACTTTTTCTAATTCCTAGAGACAGAGTAATGTAGTAGTTAAAAACTTGGACTCTGGAGTCAAACTGCATTGTTTTAAACCTGGCTCCTCTACTTACTAGCTTCATAACCCTCGCAAGTTACTTATCCTCTCTGTAAACTGGGAATAATAAATAACAGTAGTTATCTCCTAGGTCTTGAGGATTAAGAATGAACTTAAAGCACTAAAAACAATATCAATAATGAAAACAATGTAAATCACATAGTATGGACTGGTAAGTGTTAATTATTATTAACAGAATGGCTTCAATCGTAAGAGGAACAAATGACTCATGGTGCTTTCAAAAAGGTGAGAGGCCAGGTTATCTTTAAGCTTTTCAAAATGAAGGAGGAATTTTTTTTCCTTTTTTTTTTTTTTTTTTTGAGATGGAGTCTCACTCTGTCGCCCACGCTGGAGTGCAATGGCACAATCTCAACTCACTGCAACCTCCACCTCCTGGGTTCAAGCGATTCTCCTGTCTCAGCCTTGCGAGTAGCTGGGACTATAGGCACGTGCCAGCACACTCAGCTAATTTTGTGTATTTTTAGTAGAGATGCGGTTTCACCGTGTTAGCCAAGATGATCTCAATCTCCTGACCTCGTGATTCACCCGCCTCGGCCTCCCAAAGTGCTAGGATTACAGGCATGAGCCACTGTGCCCAGCCAGGAGGATTTTTTTTTTTTTTTTTTTTTTAAAAAACCTTTTTCTCCCTACCATCTTTCATTTGCTGGCTTTCCCTCTGAATTCAGAAGTTTTAACTGGAAGGTGTAGAAGCCTCTGCCTTAGGTGTAGGTGCCTCTGCCTTAACTGAGGCAATGTATTTTCCTTACCATAATGTTTATGACCTGTCATCATCACCAGCTGCTGTCCTTTTTTTCAGGTTGGGCGGCAATTAGAAGCTGAGCAGGCCTACAAGTACATGATTAAGGTATGACACAGATGCCTCTGTCATTTGCCTGCCCCATGTTGAGGGTGGGAAATTAGGAGGGAGATACTGGCTTAATTCAGGATTTTCATAATGTGAATATTTTTCTAGAGGCTTTTCTTAGCATCTTTGCCATTGTTGTGGGGCTGCTGGGTTTGTAATAATAACCTATGTATTATCATGGGTGATCTTTCTTCCAACTCTTTATAGAGAGAATATATAATAGTTAATAGAAAGGTAGCCTGGGAGTCAGTCAACCTGAATTATGATTCTGATTTTGCCATTAACTTACTGTGTTAATATTGTGGGCTTCATTTTCCTCGTGTAATATGTAGGGGTTGGTCTAGTCTAGGGGGTCAGCAAACATTTTCTGTAAAGGGCAAAATAGGAAATTTTGGGGGATAAGGCCAAATAGTCTGTTGCAACTACTGAACTCTGCACTTGTAGTACAAAAGCAGAGGTAGATAATACATAAGTGAATGGCTGTATTCCAGTACAATTTTACTTACAAAAAAACGGGTAGTGGCTGGGCATGGTGGCTCACGCCTGTAATCCCAGCACTTTGGGAGGCTGAGGTGGCTGGATCACAATGTCAGGAAGTGGAGACCATCCTGGCTAACGGTGAAAACCCGTCTCTACTAAAAATACAAAAAAATTAGCAGGGTGTGGTGGCTGGCACCTGTGGTCCCAGCTACTCAGGAGGCTGAGGCAGGAGAATGGTGTGAACCCGGGAGGTGGAGCTTGCAGTGAGCCGAGATCATGCCACTGCACTCCAGCCTGGGCGACAGAGC